GTTTCTCCTCATCTCTGTACTTTGGAGTGACACATGAGCTGGCAATATGTACAAAGCATCCACTAGTTACTTCCATTAAAAAATATGATCGCCACACGTTTTATCTCCATGTGAAGGCTCATAAGAGAATCTCAAACCATCTTTGTGAATAAGAAAATGGGGTAATTAGAACTAGTTAGCAGTTCATTTGGAGACTTTTTTTTTTTGAGACAATTCGCCCAGGCTGGAGTGCAGTGGTGCGATCGTGGCTCACTGTAACCTCTGCCTCCCAGGTTCAAGCGATTCTCCTGCCTCAGTGTCCCAAGTAGCTGGGATTACAGGCATGTGCCACTACACGTGGCTAATTTTGTATTTTGATTAGAGATGGGGTTTCTCCATGTTGGTCAGGCTGGTCTCGAACTCCCTACCTCAGGTGATCTGCCTGCCTCGGCCGCCCAAAGTGCTGGGATTACAGGTATGAGCCACTGCACCCAGTCCCATTTGAAGAAATTTCTAATTAGATCTAAGAACTTTAAATTTGGGCCGGGCGCCATGGATCACGAGGTCAACTGATAGAGCCCATCCTGGTCAACATGGTGAAACCCCATCTCTAATAAAAATACAAAAATTATCTGGGCGTGGTGGCACGAGCCTGTAGTGCCAGCTACTCGGGAGGCTGAGGCAGGAGAATTGCTTGAACCTGGGAGGTGGAGGTTTTGGTGAGCCAAAATCACGCCATTGCACTCCAGCCTGGGAAACAAGAGCAAAACTCCATCTCAAAAAAAAAAAAAAAAGAAAGAAAAAAAGAAAAAGAAAAATTAGCCAGGCGTGGTGCTGCAGGTCTGCCATCCCAGCTACTCAGGACGCTGAGATAGGAGGATCACTTGAGCCTGGGAAGTCGAGGTACCAGTGAGCCATGATTGTGCCACTGCAATCCAGCCTGGGAGACAGAGTGATACGCTGTCTCAAAAAAAAAAAAAAGAAAAAAAAAAAAAGGAAAGAAAAAAACCTTATTTACTCATAAAAAGCCTATGGCTCAGGTGCAGTGGCTCACACCTGTAATCCCAGCACTTTGGGAGGCTGAGATGGGAGAATCACTTGAGCCCAGGAATTTAAGATCAGTTTGGGCAACAAAGGGAGACCCTGACTACAAACACACACACACACACACACACACACACACACACACACACACATTAAAAATTAGCCAGGCATGTTGGTGTGTGCCTGTAATCCCGGCTACTTAGGAGGCTGAGATGAGAGGAGGATCACATGAGTCCAGGAGTTGGAGGTTGCAGTGAGCTATGATTGCACCACTGCACTCCAGCCTGGGTGACAGCAAATCTATCCCCCACTCCCCAACGTCCTCGCTTAAAAAAAAAAAAAAAAAAGCCAATGAGGCTCATACTATTTCTTCTACAATTTATGAAGGATGAAACAAATGAAGGCACAGAAATTTACTCCCACTAAGAAATGTATAACTCTTAAAAGTTGCCAGGAATTAAAAAAAAAAAAAAAAAAAAAGAAAAAAGAAATGTATAACTCAGTGTTCACCGTATTTGTAAATGGCACCATTCAGCTGATCAAGCCCAAAATACAGAAAACATCCTTCCTTTTTTTTTCTTTTTTTTTTTGAGATAATCTTGCTCTGTCGCCAGGCTGAAGCGCAGTGGCGCAATCTCGGCTCACTGCAACCTCCGCGTCCCGGGTTCAAGCGATTCTGCCGCCTCAACCTCCCGAGTAGCTGGGACTACCGGCGCCTGCAACCGCGCCCGGCTAATTTTTTGTGTTTTTAGTAGAGATGGGGTTTCACCATGTTAGCCAGAATAGTCTGGATCTTGACCTCTCGATCCTGACATCTTGACTTTGTGATCCTCATGCCTCTGCGAGGGCCCTGAGCCACCGCACCCGGCTCTTTTTTTTTTTTTTTTTTTTTTTTTTTTTTAAAAAAAAACACCTTTAAGGTTTGTTGGACTTGAACATCCTCGATTCTTTCCCTTCATTCTGTAACTGAGCCCAGACTGTTCTGCTCATGGCATGACAGCCAATGGGTCAAGAGTCAAGGAGTTAGAGCAAGGACAGCAACTTTATTTCTGAGAGCTAGCAAACCGGGAAAATTGCAGAATAATATCCTAAAGAATCCGGCTGGCGTGCAGTGGCACGATCTCGGCTCACTGCAACCTCCGGCTCCCGGGTTTAAGTGACTCTCCTGTCTCAGCTTTCCAAGAAACTAGGACTACAGGTGAAAACCACCAGACCCAGCTAATTTTTGCATTTTTAGTAGAAACGGGGTTTCTTCATGTTGGTTAGCCTGGTCTTGAACTTCTGACCTCAGGTGATCCACCTGCCTTGGCCTCCCGAAAATGCTGGGATTATAGGTGTGAGCCACTGCGCCCGGCCTAAAGAACCATCTTTAGCCAGTACACATTTCAGGCTCTTCTTGTGTTAAGGGCGGGGGAAGGAGAGGGGTGGTGTCATTTAGGCACCAGGGAGGGTTCCTGGAGGCCTGAAGCCTTTCTGTTATTGGTTATATCACAACACTCCCACAAACTCTCAATATTGTTACTTATGTGTACACCCTCCTTATCTCCTTGGGGGTTAGTTTTGGGAAGGAACTATTATCATCCTTGCTTTAAACTATAAATTCCTCCCATAGTTTGGTCTATGTGCAGAGATAAGCAAAAGCAGTTAACCTAGATATCACCGAAGGGTGGGAGTGGGGAGTTTAGCAGCAAAATGGAGTTAGTCATGCTAGGCCTACTTTTCAATGTTACAATTCCACATTATCAAATCATTTCAATATTTCCAAATACATTCTTTTTTTTTCTTTCTTTTTTTTTTTTTTTGAGACGGAGTTTCGCTCTTGTTACCCAGGCTGGAGTGCAATGGCGCGATCTCGGCTCACCGCAACCTCCGCCTCCTGGGTTCAAGCAATTCTCCTGCCCCAGCCTCCTGAGTAGCTGGGATTACAGGCACGCACCACCATGCCCAGCTAATTTTTTGTATTTTTAGTAGAGACGGGGTTTCACCATGTTGACCAGGATGGTCTCGATCTCTCGACCTTGTGATCCACCCGCCTCGGCCTCCCAAAGTGCTGGGATAACAGGCTTGAGCCACCGCGCCCGGCCCCTCTTTTTTTTTTTTTTAAGAGTCTCGCGCTGTCACCCAGAGGCTAGAGTGCAGTGGCACGATCTCGGCTCACCATAACCTCCACCTCCCGGATTCAAGCGACTCTCCTGCTTCAGCCTCCCGAGGAGCTGAGATTACAGGCATGCGCCACCACACCTGGCTAATTTTTGTGGTTTTAGTAGAGGCGGAGTTTCACAGTGTTGGCCAGGCTGGTCTGGACCTCCCGACCTCATGTGATCCGCCCGTCTCAGCCTTCCAAAGTGCTGGAATTACAGGCGTGAGCCACCGCGCCCTGTGTGTTTGTTTGTTTCCTGTTTTTGTTACTTCGTTTTTGTTTGTTTTTTGAGACGGAGTCTTGGTCAGTCGCCCAGTGCTGGAGTGCAAAGGCGCGATCTCGGCTCTCTGCAACCTCCGCTTCCCAGGTTCAAGCGACTCTCCTGCCTCAGCCTCCCGAGTAGCTGGGATTACAGGCGTTTGCCACCACACCCGGCTGTTCTTAGTAGAGAAGGGGTTTCTCCATGTTGTCCAGGCTGTTCTAGAAACTTCTGGCCACAAGCGATCTTCCCGCCTCCACCTCTCAAAATTCTGGGATTATAGGCGTGAGCCACCGCGCCCAGTCCACCATGCCCGTTGGCATTACATCTGCTAATACACATGGAGTACTGTATATGAAGTATACAAAGGACTATGCTGAATGTTTAAGAAACCAGTCAACAAAGGACTATGCTGAATGTTTAAGAAATCAGTCAATATTCTTCTTTTATTTATTTATTTATTTATTTTATTTATTTATTTTTTTTGAGACAGAGTTTCACTCTTGTTACCCAGGCTGGAGTGCAATGGCGCGATCTTGGCTCACTGCAACCTCCGCCTCCTGGGTTCAGGCAATTCTCCTGCCTCAGCCTCTGGAGTAGCTGGGATTACAGGCACATGCCACCATGCCCAGCTAATTTTTTTTGTATTTTTAGTAGAGACGGGGTTTCACCATGTTGATCAGGATGGTCTCGATCTCTTGACCTTGTGATCCACCCGCCTCGGCCTCCCAAAGTGCTGGGATTACAAGCTTGAGCCACCGCGCCCGGCCTATTTATTTATTTTTTAATTAAAGACGGGGGTTTCACCATGTTGGTCAGGCTGGTCTTGAACTCCCGACCTCAGGTGATCCGCCCGCCTTGGCCTCCAAAGTGCTTGGATTACAGGCGTGAGCCACCGCGCCCGGCCTATTATTCTTATATTAATAAATTAACCTGATGAAATGACAACGGCGAGATCTCGATCCTCAACTATAAGGGAGTGGGAAACTGAGGCAAGGAAGCGGTCAGGCGTGGTTTACAATACTGCTCAAATTGTTGAGATAACCGGCCGCGCCTCAATAGTCCTCAGCTGATCGCCGGCGCGAGCCAGCCTGGGCTCCCGGAAGGTAAACACATCGCCGAGGGCGGGGCAGAAGGCGGGTGTGAGACGAGTGAGTGGCCACTTAAAACTGATTGGCAGCTGCCATGTCCACGTGCTCTGAGCTTCGACCCAGCTGTCGCGAGAATTCGATGTAAACAGAGCAGTCTCCCTGTCCTTTGGGTCCAACTTGAGACGCTCGCATGAGCGGGACAGGGGTCTGGGGGATGTTGCTTTTCTTTTCAAAGCCAGGAAGGTTCTGTCTTCCAAAAAAATGTACACGTTCATAATTATTCCCCAGCTGCCTGCGTTCGCAACCGAACCTAACATGTCGGCTTCACCCGAACTTACATGCTGTTGTGTTTTCCTTCCAACCCCAGCGGATTGGCCACATTTAGGAGGCGGGTCCGCCTCTTTCCTACTTGCTGGTTGGCGGAGCTGACCTCCAAGGGCGGTGCCCGGCCGTAGCCAGTTTGCTTCTGGGATTGGCTAGAGCCGTAGTTCCGCTGAGGTGTGGTAGGAAGTGGCAGCCGTCAATCAGGCGAGGAGACTCCAAACAGTGAGCCTGGAGCTGGAGAGCATCGTTCACCGGCGGGGCGGCCGGTGAGAGGGCTGGCGGGGCTTTGGCTTAGGGGAGGCTTGGGGAGGACGGGGGACCGGCGGCGTGAGGGACAGGGTCGGGATGGCAGGAATTTGACAGGAGAGTGGTGTCGATACCGGAGGGGGAGGGGAACGGTGCCAGGGGCCGGAGGGCGGCCGGGGGCGGCGGCGGCTCCGTGCCGAGGTGAAGTGGGCAGCGCCGGGCGAGTGTCTTTGAGGAGACCTGGGGCCTGAGCGGCGGACGAGGGTCGTCCCCGGGAGGCAGGGCCCTGGAAGGACCGGGCTTGGGAGACTGTGGTGCGAGAAAGCAAGAACGGGGTGAAAACGAGAGGGCTGAGGGGCTGGAGGTGCAGGTGCCCCCTGGGGAGGTGGTGGCTGGGCCGGCTGGGGCGGAGGGTGGTTTGGGGGTAGGAGGGGGGCTCGCAGGCTGGGAGTTTCCTCCTCAGCCGTGAACGCTCCCTCCTTAGACAGGATGGTTTTAGGTGCCTTCAAGAGGAGTTCCAGGCTGTGGGCTTTTCTGAGCCCCCTAAGAGACCTTTGCTGTTGCTGTCGGTCCTCTTTGAACCTGAACCGAGCCGACTCCATGCTCTTAAAATCTCAGTGATTCAGAGGCTCATGAAGCCTTCTAGGATCAGGATTTACTGATGTGACCGGAATGCATAAAGGGCTGTAACAACATTTATGTCTATGTGACTTATTTGACTGCTTACTACTGGTCAAATACTGATTGGACTTATTTGTTGCTTATTAAACTCCGGTGATTAGGTAACCCCCCCAGTAGCGGGGGGCTTTACAAATTGATTTAAACTGTGGCCACGCAGTTCTTTACTCATAGATTCCCGACAGGTTTAATTGGAAGGTAGAGTGGTATCGTGTCACTTGTTCCGTTTGTTCTTGGAATACTGTACCATGTGTATTTTCACTATCTCAACATAAAATTTCAGTGAATTGCTATCTCACGATCTGGTTCTCTTACCTTTGTAATTTATGTTAACAATAGACCAAAGGGTACAGCGAGAGTCTTCCTTAAATTGTTTTGTGGTTCTGAGGCCTGATCCTATTAAAAAAACAAAACAGGACGGGCGCGGTGGCTCACTCCTGTCATTTCAGCATTTTGGGAAGCTAAGGCGGATGGATCACTTGAGCTCAGGAGTTTGAGACCAGCCTCGGCAACATGGCGAAATGCTGTCTTTACAAAAAAATATAAAATTTAGCCGGGCATGGTGGCGTGCATCTGTAATCCCAGCTGCTCGGGAGGCTGAGGCATGAGAATTGCTTGAGCCTGGTAGGCGGAAGTTGCAGTGAGCAGAGCTCCTGCCACTGCACTCCACCCTGGGCGACAGAGTGAGACGCCATCTCAATACCCCAACTCCCTCATTTTCCTTTAAAAGAAATTAAAAATCTACTTTCTCTTTTTTTCCCTTTCTGGTGTAACAGGAATTTCTGGGAAAGTTTCCTGTATTTGAGGCATTTTTGACAAGGGATCTATAGTGAGCAATTATAAATCTTCCTTCCTACCCCGACAATGATCCATGTCTTTCTTTTTTTTTTTTTTTTTTTTTTTTTTTTTTGTTGTTGTTGTTGTTGTTCTGTAAACAGGTTTTATGAATGAAGCTATGGCTACAGATTCCCCAAGAAGACCCAGTCGTTGTACTGGTGGAGTTGTGGTTCGTCCCCAGGCTGTCACGTAAGCACATTTCAGATAAGCCCAATAGCTGAAGAAAAGACTCAGTATAGTAACTAACATTCAGGTTTTCTTTATGAACAGTGATAACTTTTGTAAAAACCTTTTAAATGTTGGCTTTATGGGATGAATAATTATTTCCAAGGCCAAATGAAGAATTGGAGAGTTAAGTTGATGTATTCAGCACATTTACAGAGTACATGAAGAGCACTATGCTAAATCCTGAAGAGCAGTGTTTTCTAACTCCAAGTTTAACAAATTAATGGATCAGTAAAATCAGTTTAGTGGGTCAGGACTAGTATTAGAAAATGAAATAGAATATAATAGAATATATAGCTGAGAATTCATATAGTTCCATGACATGCACACAGATGTGTTCATATGTATGTATGTATTTACCAGATGGTGATGTAAAATGTATCTCTTTTAAGTTCAAGGTTACCTGTGCAGGTTTGTTAAATAGGGAAACTCATGTCATAGTGTTTTTTTGTGGAGACTATTTCATCATCCAGGTGTTAAGCGTAGTCCCCATTAGTTGTTTTTCCTGATCCTCTCCCCTCTTCCACCCTTCACCCTCTCATAGGCCCCAGTGTGTGTTGTTCCTGTCTTTGTATCCATGTGTTATCTGTAAAAGGTATCTCTTAGTCGAGGTCTCTGCCAGAAAGTTTCAAAGTAAGTGTCATAGTACATTTCTGTGATTTTGGCATTCTTTTTTTTTTAAAACCATCAGAGTGGTTTGCATTCATCATCACTCTCAGATGTCCCTACGAACACAGGCTTCATCAGAGGCAGGGCACAAGAGCTGAGGCTTCTCCGCAATTCTACCGGAACTGTATAGTCGCGGCTTAGGTCATGCCTACCAAATGTACAGTCCCCGACCATCCTTGGCTTGTGGGCCCTGACAAGAGCTGCCTCCTATCTCGAAAGCGATTTTGGCATTCTTTGAAAAAGAATGTCTATACTTACTAGGAGTTTATAATCTAATATGGCTTGAAGATATATATGTCCTTTTTTTTTTTTTTTTTGAGATGCAATCTCACTCTGTCACCCAGGCTGGATTGCAGTGGCGCCATCTCAGCTCACTGCAGCCTCTGTCTCCTCCTCTACCTCCCAGATTTAAGTGATTTTCCTGCCTCAGCCTCCGGCAAAGATTACAGGCATGTGCCACCACCCCTGGCTAATTTTTGTATTTTTAGCAGAGACGGGGTTTTGCCATGTTGGCCAGCCTGGTCTTGAACTTCTGACCTCAGGTGATCTGCCTGCCTTGGCTTCCCAAAGTGCTAGGATTCCAGGTGTGAGTCACCGTGCCTGGCCAAGGATATGTATACTTGAAGGCTGAGGTGGGAGGATTGCTTGAACTCAGGAGTTTGACACCAGCCTCAACAACATACGGAGACCCTTATGTCTTACAAAAATAAAAAAAATTAGCCAGGTGTTGTGGCAGGCACCTGCAGCCTTAGCTACTCAGGAGGTTGAGATGGGATGATCACCTGGGCCCAGGAGCTTGAGGCTGTGGTAAGCTGTGATTGTGCCATTATACTCCAGCCTTAGTGAGAGAGTGAGACCATGTCTCAAAAAATATATGTGTATATAATATGTTTAACATATATTATATATATATATGTATACTTCCTTTTTCTTTTATTAAGATGGAGTCTCACTCCATTGCCCAGGCTGGAGTGCAGTGGCATGATCTCAGCTCACTGCAAGCTCCGCCTTCTGGGTTCAAAGGATTCTCTTGCGTCAGCCTCCCAAGTAGCTGGGATTACAAACGTGGATCTCCATGCCTGGCTAATTTTTGTATTTTTGATAGAAATGGGGTTTTGCCAAATTGGCCAGGCTGAAGTAAACAAGTAAATACATAAAATAATTTCAGGCTACGATTGTGCACAGTGTACTACAATGGATAATGACAAAGGAGAATATGTCAGGGAAGGTCTCTCAGAGGAGGCAACACTTAACATGGAGATCTAAAAGGAATGGAAGGGTACAGGAAGGAATCCAGATAGAAATAAAGTTGGTATAAAGATCTTGATTCAAAGAAGAACTTAGTGTTTACTAGGAATTAAGTTGCATATGGCCGAAGCAGAGTAAGGAGAGTGACAAAAAATGACGTTGGAGAGGTAGCCTAATAATTTTCTTTTAGGCCTAATCTATTTTTCTAGGTCTCTAGGGCATGCTGCTTTTTAAATAGGATTTATGATAAATCACATTATTTTCAAGTTTGATTTTTCACATGCCTCTTGAAATGGATTTGAATTAGTATTTTGATTTCTTTGTGTTTTTGAGATGGAGTCTCGCTTTTTTGCCCAAGCTGGAGTGCAGTGGTGCGGTCTTGACTCACTGCAGCCTCCATGTCCTGGGTTCGGTGATTCTCCTGCTTCAGCCTCCCCAGCAGCTGGGATTACAGGCGTGCATCACCAAGCCCAGCTGATTTTTGTATATTTAGTAGAGACGGGTTTTCACCATATTGGCCAGGCTGGTCTTGAACTCCTGACCTCAAGTGATCTACCCACCTTGGCCTCCTATAGTGCTGGGATTATAGGCGTGAGCCACCACGCCTGGCCTGAAATAGTATTTTGAAGTATTTTTTCTCCACTTGCTGGAATTTATATGCTTTATATTTAAAATATATTAATTTAGTATCCTTATGTAATTAACAATGTTGTTTTTTTCCATTCACTTTGTTTTTTAGAGATGGGGTCTTACTATATTGCCTAGCCTGGCTGCCAACTCCTGGGTTCAAGTGATCTTCTCACCTCTGCTTTCTGAATAGCTGGGACTACAGGCATATGCTATTGCACCCAGCTTTCCCTCATTTTTATGCATTTTAATTTTTTTCCATGTCTTTCCTATACCAAAATTCTGTGACGGCTTAATAGCTTCTTCTAATACCTGTACCTGCTAGAAAATACAGACTTACTTGCTATATATGGGTAAGGGACTAGGTTCATAACCAATTTAAAGAGAAGGTCACTGGATAGTGAGTCATCAGCAACAGTTTTACTTGCTCTAACTAGGGCATTCTTCTGCTCTGACTCAAGAGGAGGGTCATGCCTTAGGTCTCTGTAGTCACTCCTTCAAATATGGCTTAGAAGTTATCTCTATCAAATTAGGAGATAATGACTTTTAAAAAGAGATAATGTTGCCAGGCGTGGTGGCTCATGCCTGTAATCCCAGCACTTTGGGAGGCTGAGGCTGGTGGATCACGAGGCCAAGAGATTGAGACCATCCTGGTCAACATGGTGAAACCCCGTCTCTACTAAAAATACAAAAAATTAGCTGGGTATGGTGGCGTGTGCCTGTAATCCCAGCTACTCAGGAGGCTGAGGCAGGAGAATTGCCTGAACCCAGGAGGTGGAGGTTGCGGTGAGCCGAGATCACGCCATTGCACTCGAGCCTGGGTAACAAGAGCGAAACTCCGTCTCAAAAAAAAAAAAAAAAAGAGATAATGTTAAGAGATTCTACTCATGAAAAAAGAAAAAAAAGATAAAAGAAAGAAAAAAGTTAATGTTTAAAGATGTTAAAAGCTCATTTACATTTAATAACATATATAAAGATCCATGAAACCAGAAAGTAGTTAGTTTAGCAGAAATATCAGATAAGAGTTAGCTTCTTTTTTTTCCCCTTTTTTGAATATTATGAGTGATGCCTGTAATCCCAGCACTTGGGAAGACTGAGGTGGGAGGATCGCTAGAGCTCAGGAGTTTGAGACCAGCCTGGGCACATGGTGAAACCTCATCTCTACAAAAAATACAAAAATTAGCTGGGCATGGTGGTGCATTCTACTTGGGAGCCTGAGGTAGGAGGATTGCTTAAGCCCGGGAGGTCGAGGCAGCAGTCAGCCGAGATTGCATCACTGCATTCCAGCCTGGGTGACAGAGTAAGACCCTGTTTCAAGAAAAAAAAAAAAAAAAAAAAAAAAAAGAAAAATGAGTTACTTTATTAAGGCTTGTAAATAGAGCTTTTTTTTCATTATCTATATTAAGCTCTCCTGACCAGTGTTGTCCATTCCACCCTTTTCCAGAGAGCAGTCCTACATGGAGAGTGTTGTGACTTTTCTACAGGATGTTGTGCCACAGGTAAGTGTCTGTATGTGCCTTCAGAAATAGTACGTTTTGCCAGGCACAGTGGCTCACGCCTGTAATACTAGCACTTTGGGAGGCGGAGGTGGGTGGATCACCTGAGGTCAGGAGTTCACTACCAGCCTGACCATCATGGTGAAACCCCATCTTAAAAAAAAAAAAGAAATAGTAGGTTTTATCTTTGGTCAGGAGAACTCTGAAATGTTTCCAAACTTGACACTAGTACCAGCAACTTCAGAAAGGGTTTTGATGTTTTAGCATCCTGAGCATTGGTAGGATGGGACTATGTTATTGTATAGATGTGCGCCAGTGTTGTGATGACAGTGGCATAAAGATTATTCCTCAGGACTTTCCCCTACTGAGAAGAATCATGGTGAATTTTTAGTAGAGAGTTTAGACCTGGGACCCTTGTAGGTTTCTGTTTTCTTGTCCTATTTAAGGATTGCCTCTCAGAAGGGAAAAAAGCAAGATACACTCTTCACTCCTTAACTAGACATTAGCTATATTGGACCTGAGCACAAATCTACTTCTCTTTTTATTTATTTACTTATTTTTACTTTTTTTTTTTTTTTTTTTTTTTTTAACTAGTCAAGTGCAGTAGTGAGATGGGGGAAATCTACTTCTCTTTCATATTGAGCAGTATTTTTGTGTCAACTAGGGTATCCTGTTACTCCAACTGATAAGAGATTAAGTCTTTTACTGTTTTACCTTTTATATAAATATGAGAATGAAGAATGAGAATAGCCTTACTGGGATTATCTAGTATACTATTGCCCAAACCTAACATAATTATCACTTGGCATACTTGTTAAAAGTAATAATAATTTGGCTGGGCATGGTGACTCATGCCTATAATCCAAGCACTTTGAAGGCCAAGGTGGGCGGATCACCTGAGGTCGGGAGTTCAAGACCAGCCTGACCAACATGGTGAAACCCTGTCTTTAAAAAAAAAGAAAAAAAAGTAATAATAATTTCCTCTCTCAGAGACTCTTAACTCAATTGATTTGCTATGGTAACTGGCAACCTGCAGCAATAGTAAGAATCTCAGGTGATTCTTAATGAAATGGTACCTTTGGGAAGCACGGTTCTAGTGGGAATACTGAAGGAAGGTTTCCATGCTTTCTCCTTATGGTTATGTAGTCTTTTTTCTTTTTTTTTGAGATGGAGTTTCACTCTTGTCACTCAGGCTGGAATGCAATGGCACTATCTTGGCTCACTGCAACCTCCACCTCCCAGGTTAAAGCGATTCTCCTGCCTCAGCTTCCTGAGTAGCTGGGATTACAGGCATGTGCCACCATACCTGGCTAATTTTGTATTTTAAGTAGAGATGGGATTTCTCCATGTTAGTTAGGCTGGTCTCAAACTCCCGACCTCAGGTGATCTACCCACCTCAGCCTCCCAAAGTGCTGAGATTACGGGCATAAGCCACCGCGCCCAGCCTGTTATGTAGTCTTCCTCAACTACCAAGGCTATCTGTAACTGCACTTTTCAGAAAGGACATTCATAGATCCAGTGTCCCAGCTTAATGGGAGGATCCTAGAAAACAAAGTGCCTTCAACCTGAAAAGCTGAGTGGGAAAAAAAGGGGAAAAGAAACAGAGTGTCATGGTAATATAGTAGAAGGAAAACTAAAATCAGTTGCAGGACATCAAAGAAGGCTTAATGAATGAGATGCCATATGAATTGAGGAATAGAGTGGAGTAAAATCCAATGATGATAAATTGAGTGGGAATATAATGGGGACAGTAGGATCCTAGTAGATGTTAGCTTTATTTGGCAAAGAAGTTATAACTTACATTTTGCACATTGGGCTTAGAGTAGCTTAGTGATTAAGAGCATAGAGTTTGATATTAGACCTAGCTTTGTATTTCAGCTCTGCATCTTACCCGTTCTAGACAAGTTACTGAATCTTTCTAAACATCAGTATTCTTTTTTTTTTTTTTTTTAAACATCAGTATTCTTATGTATAAACTAGGGTTAATCATCTTATTTATCATGGGTTTGTTTTGAGGCTTAAAGGGTGTCATGTATGTAAAGCATAAAATAGAGCCAAGCAAATACTAAGTAGTCTTTCCTGGAGGGAGGATGAAGAGACTGGAGATCCAGGGTGGAGATGTAGCTTTATGGCATACAATTGGTAGTCGAAATAATCAGATGAGCCAAAGACATTACAATTTCTAATTGTGATGGTGTGACATCATCATTTTAGCACCTACTGACCATAGTTTGCTTAGGAAAGCAATAATAGGAGTTAACTTTTTGTTATATTAGACATTTTCTCTACTGTTTAGTTGACATGAAAACAGTGCTTTCTAATATTTTTTTCCCCATGTTTAATTCAGAATGCTGTGTTTTTACTTTGTGGTCAGACGTTAAAAAATAATGTTTTCGGCTGGATGTGGTGGCTTGCGCCTGTAATCCTAGCATTTAGGAGGCTGAGGTGAACGGATCACCTGAGGTCAGGAGTTCAAGAGCAGCCTGGCCATCATGGTGAAACCCCATCTTTGAAAAAAAAATAGGATCTGGGCGCGGTGGCTCACACCTGTAATCCCAGCACTTTGGAAGGCCGAGGCGGGTGGATCATGAGGTCAAGAGATTGAGACCATCCTGGTCAACATGGTGAAACCCCGTCTCTACTAAAAATACAAAAAAAAAATTAGCTGGGCATGGTGACACGTGCCTGTAATCCCAGCTACTCAGGAGGCTGAGGCAGGAGAATTGCTTGAACCCAAGAGGCGGAGGTTGCGGTGAGCCGAGATCACACCATTGCACTCCAGCCTGGGTAACAAGAGTGAAACTCCGTCTCAAAATAAATAAATAAATAAATAAATAAATAAATAAATAAAAATAATGTTTTCTGCCAATATTATGTTCTACTTCCTGCTCTATTCTGGAAATCATCAAATTCATGGAGCCTAGATATTCTCTGAGTCTGCAAATATCTTTCTAAGGAGAGAACGTGTTGTTGGACTGGCAACAGCAGCTTTAGTTATTACCCATTGGATTCTAGTTGTGTTAGCATTGATGGCTGGTAGTTTCCCTTAGCTGTGTCTTGATCTAATAGTTTCACTTATGAAAATTTATTTATTTTTTCCAGTACATATTTCCAATATGTATTTATTTTTTTTGACATGGAATTTTGCTCTTGTCATCCAGGCTGGAGTGCAATGGCATGATCTCGGCTCACTGTAACCTCCGCCTGCTAGGTTCAAGCGATTTTCCTGCCTCAGCCTCCCGAGTAGCTGGGATTACAGGCATGTGCCACCATGCCTGGATACTTTTTGTATTTTTAGTAGAGACAGGGTTTCACCATGTTGCCCAGGGTGGTCTCGAACTCCTGACATCAGGTGATTCTCTCACCTTGCCTCCCAAAGTGCTGGGATTACAAGCGTGAGCCATTGTGCCTGGCTGAAAATTTATTTTAAAAACCAATTCAAGCCGGGCGCGGTGGCTCACGCCTGTAATCCCAGCACTTTGGGAGGCCGAGGTGGGTGGATCACGAGGTCAAGAGATCGAGACCATCCTGGTCAACATGGTGAAACACCGTCTCTACTAAAAAAAAAAAAATACAAAAATTAGCTGGGCATAGTGGCACGTGCCTGTAATCCCAGCTACTGAGGACGCTGAGGGAGGAGAATTGCCTGAACCCAGGAGGCGGAGGTTGCGTTGAGCCGAGATCGCGCCATTGCACTCCAGTCTGGGTAACAAGAGTGAAACTCCGTCTCAAAAAAAAAAAAAAAAAAAAAAAAAAAGAAATACAACAAAGAGATTAAAGCTCAGAACTTTAGGAAATTTTTATTTTTATTATTTTTGAGACGGAGTTTCGCTCTTGTTACCCAGGCTGGAGTGCAATGGCGTGATCTCAGCTCACCGCAACCTCCGCTTCCTGGATTCAGGCAATTCTCCTGCCTCAGCCTCCTGAGTGGCTGGGATTACAGGCACACGCCACCATGCCCAGCTAATTTTTTTTAGTATTTTTAGTAGAGACGGGATTTCACCATGTTGACCAGGATGGTCTCGATCTCTTGACCTCGTGATCCACCCGCCTCGGCCTCCCAAAGTGCTGGGATTACAGGCTTGAGCCACCGCGCCCGGCCAAACTTTAGGAAATTTTTACATTTTCAGTGTAAAAACTTGTAACCAGCTTAAATTTCAATTAATACTCAAGCAAATGATGATATATTACGGTCCCTACAGAATAATGTGCTGTAAATAAAAATTATACTTATGACAATAGTACACTATGGAAATTGTTTTCTCTATGGTGAACAAATAAGACAACATACAGAATGATATCTACAATGATTATAGCTATGTTATATAAAATTGAAAAATACTTTGTACTTATGATTATATGTATGTGTGTTAGAAACCAGTGTTAAGGTATAAAAGAAGTAAATCTGTTCAGTAGTGATGTGAAAGTTTGAGTCTAAATAAGAAGGCTAAATTGGTTGCTCTTGTTTCAAGAAGGACTTTTAATCAGTGCTGGGGGAAAAGGAAAAAATGTTGTGTGGCAGTACATTGACCTCTGTAAAGACATCAGGTGATGCTGGATGTGGTGGCTGATATCTATAATCCTAGCACTTTGGGAGGTCTAGGTGGGCAGATTGTTTGAGCCCAGGAGTACCAGACCAGCCTGAGCAACATGGTGAAACCCCATCTCTACAAAAAATACAAAATTTAGCTGGGTGTGGTGGTGCATGCCTGTAGTCGTAGCTACTTGGGAAGCTGACGTGGGAGGATCACTTGAATCCAGGAGGTGGAGGTTGCAGTGAGCTGAGATCATACCATTGTATTCCAGCCTGGGTAACAGAGTGGAATACTGTCAAAACAAAAGCAAAAACAAAAACAAGCAAAAAAACCCAAAAAGAAACTTTTTTTAAAAAAGACGTCAGGTGAAAGCTAGAAGGGCAGTGGTGAGTCTGTGTCTCACTGAGAATAAAATAAGCACTGGAAAAGGAGATCATAAGAAGCTGAGCGGCAAATAATGGTGTGCTATACCTTCTTTGTACAAAGCTGTAGTAAGGAACACATGAAGCAGAGCTCAGGTGCTTCAGTCAGCTTTTCAGAATGTTCTAAAAAATGCTTAATAAAAAACACCATGTCCACTAAGGAGAGAGGAAAACTTGAAGACATATTAAAAGCATATAAGCTTCATTTTGCAAGTTATTTCCCACTCACAGGGAAAGCAAAAAGAGGTTCAAGAACACTGAAAGACCTTTAACCTTGTTTTGTTCTGCATATCACTCAGAAATCAAAGGAGAGTATCTTGAGCATATTGGAAAGGAATAGGTCTGCTATTCTGAAGAAGAATTTGAAAATGTTATTGCTTCGCCAAGTTAAAGGAAAGGAAAGCCTGATATAGGAGAAAAGGAAATTGTCCTAAATGCAACGTGGCATCCTGGATTGGATCCTGGAGCAGAGAAAGGACATTAGTGAGAAAACTTGTGAAATTCAATTTATGTCTGGGATTTAACAGTAATGCACCAGTGTTAGTTTTGTAGTTTTGAGAAATGTAAATGTCAGATTTGATTAGATAGTTAATATTAGGGGACAGTTTTTTTTTTTTTTTTTTTTTTGAGACAGGGTCTTATTCTTACCAGGCTAGAGTGCAGTGGCACTATCATGGCTCACTGTAGCCTCAGTTTCCTAGGTTCAGCTGATCCTCCCATCTCAGCCTCTGTGGTAGCTGGGACTATGGGCACATGCCACCATGCTCAGATTTTTACTTTTTGTAAAGACAGGGTTTTTTCCATGTTGCCTAAGCTGGTGTTTTTTTTTTAAAGGTAGTTTGGGCAGGGCATGGTGGCTTTCCTGTGTAATCCTAGCACTTTGGGAGGCTGAGGCAGGGTGGATCACCTGAGGTCAGGAGTTCAAGACCAGCCTGGCTAACATGGTGAACGCTGTCTCTACTAAAAATACAAAAAATTAGCTGGGCATGGTGGCACATGCCTGTAGTCCCAGCTACTCAGGAGACTGAGGCAGGAGAATTGTTTGAACCCAGGAGGTGGAGGTTGCAGTGAGCTGAGAGCATGCCACTGCACTCCAGACTGGGCGACAGTGACATGAGACTCATGTCACTGTCTCAAAAAAAAAAAAAAAAAAAAAAAAAAAAAAAGAACATGCTTTATGGAGAGATGCCTCCTTTTGAATCCTGTTGATACTTTGTACCATAATGTTTATCTTTGTGACCTTCGAAGGCTTCCAGGAAGCAGCTGATAGGTTGGTCTGGAAGCCTGATAAGAGATTTAAGAAGTGCAATAATATTCTTGAAAAGTATAGGTTCAGTATAATTGCCACAAATTTTGTTTGTTTTCTAAGTCATATTTGTTGACCATTATAGGAGATGGTCAGTTTTTTGTGTGCCTTTGAATTATAGTAATGCTTCATAAGGGATTATTGTGTTTTATGTTTCTGTGTTTTTTTTTGTTTTGTTTTTGTTTTGTTGTTTGTTTTTTGAGACAGTTTTGCTCAGTCATCCAGGCTGAGCATATAAGCCTCATTTTGCAAGACTTACTTCAAAGTGGCGCGATCTCTAGTCACGGCAATCTCTGCTTTCCAGGTTCAAGCGATTAGGTCTAGTGTCTCAGTCTCCCCAGTAGCTGGAATTACAGGCATGTGCCACCTCACCCAGCTAATTTTTTGTGTTTTTAGTAGAGACAAGGTTTCACCGTGTTGGTCAGGCTGGTCTTGAACTCCTGGCCTCAAGTGGTCTGCCTGCCTCGGCTTCCCAGAGTACTGAGATTACAGCTGCCCAAACTGCAATTCTTTTAATAAGTTAAAAACTCTTTTGATCAAAGTTATCAGACTCATGGATAATATTCGTTGGGGGTAATAAGGTTCCAAATGTTCTAGTTACCAAGATTTAGGGTTGGTGAAGTTGGAGAAGTATAGTGTTGGCTTTAAGTCACTGTTTATTTTGAACATCAGTAATATTAAAGCTGTAAAATATGTTTATTCAAATGTTTCTGTTTACTGTGCAGGCTTACAGTGGAACACCTCTAACAGAAGAAAAGGAGAAAATAGTCTGGGTCAGATTTGAAAATGCAGATTTAAATGGTATGGTTTTAACTTTTTTGGGACACACGAATTAATTGTTTGTTTGGAGTTGACCTGATTCCCAAAAGAGACCCTCTACTTTAGTCACATTACTTTCTCTTGTAGTAATTTTTCGGTTTTCAAAATAAAAGGTAGCATAACCACAGTACAGAAACTTTAGAACTATTACTGTGTAACAAGTTTTAAAGTAACTGTAACACAGTGTGTAAGTGTTAAACTTCAATCAAGTTAAAGTGAGTTAAAATTTTCTTAGGTAAAAAAATAGTTTTCTTAAAAAAGGGGTTAACTTACTGGTTAACATCAGGTCACTTAGGGTTACCTTTTGTTCTAAGGATTAAAACAGAGGGAACTTTATTATCATGCCACATTTTAGTCATTCATTTGTTGAAAGACATTTGCGTTGCTTCTACCTTTTGGCTTTGTGAACAATGCTGTAACGAACATAGGTGTACAAATATCTCTTCTAGTGGAATTGTATCATTTGGTAATTCTTTAATTTTTTGAGGCACCACCATACTTTTTTCGTTAGAGGATTTAAAATTTTATTTTTAGAGGCAGAGTCTTGCTGTGTCATTCAGGCTGGAATGCAGTGAAATGATCACAGCTCACTACAGTTTTGAACTGCTGGCCTCATGTGATTCTCTTTCCCCAGCCTCCCAAGTAGCTGGCAGTATAAGCACATATCGCCATGCCCAGCTTATTTTTAAATTTTTTGTAGCCGGGCGCGGTGGCTCAAGCCTGTAATCCCAGCACTTTGGGAGGCTGAGGTGGGTGGATCATGAGGTCGAGAGATCGAGACCATCCCGGTCAACATGGTGAAACCCCGTCTCTACTAAAGATACAAAAAATTAGCTGGGCATGGTGGCGTGTGCCTGTAATCCCAGCTACTCAGGAGGCTGAGGTAGGAGAATTGCCTGAGCCCAGGAGGCGGAGGTTGCGGTGAGCCGAGATCGCGCCATTGCACTCCAGCCTGGGTAACAAGAAGCGAAACTCCGTCTCAAAAAAAAAAAAAAAAAAAAAAAAATTTTTTTTGTAAAGATGAGGTCTTGCTATGTCGCCCAGGCTTATCTTGAACTACTGGACTCAAGCAATCCTCCTGCCCCAGCCTCCTAAAGTGCTGGGATAGAGGCGTAAGCCACTGTACCTGGGCTCATAGGGGATTTAAAAATAATCTACTTATGGATCTGGGAAGGGGGGCGTGTCATGCTTATAATCTTTCTGCACTTCTTGTCACTCCTCTCTGAATGTTTGCATCTCTTCTTTGACTTCTTTTTAGAGAGTTGGTGCAGTGCTTACTCAAAACTCTTTATTCATACCTTTATGATTATATGATAAGATCAAAGAGAAAAAAGTATTCATTAGGAAATCTAGATGGCTCAGTCTGAGTCACTCTCCCATTATTGGAATAGTTGCTGTGGCCAAGGATGTAGTACTAGAATTGCTCAGCTAGTCATGTGCCTTGGCCCTGTGCTTGACGGAGGATGAGATTAGTTACCGGAAAAGAGGGAGGTACAGAGTGGGAAGTGTGTGAGGTATGCAAAGGTAATAGCTGCTGCAGCTGGGCACGGTGGCACGCACCTGTAGTCCCAGATGCTGAGGAGGCTGAGGTAGGAGAATTGCTTGAGTCTAGGAGTTCTGAGCTATAATGTGCTATGCCAATTCGATGTCTGCACTAAGTTCAGCATCAGTATGGTGACTTCCCGGGAGTGGGGAACCACCGGGCTGCCTAAGGAGGGGTGAACCAGCCCAGTCTGGAAACAGTTAAAATTCACATGATGATCAGTAGTGAGATGGCATCTGTGAATAATAGCATAGCAGTCCAGCCTGGGCAGCACAGTGAGACCCCATCTCTAAAAGAAAATGCTGCTATAAACTTCTATTGCTCTAGACATTCAGGTCCCACAGATGCCTCAAACTCTGGTTTCTTTTCCCATCTAATTGTCTCTCCTTAGCAGCTGTGCACTGACCCCACTTACCTTTCAGGTCATTAAAGCCACAGAACTCTTCATGCCTCAGGATCTTTGCAGAGGGGACCCTGTAGGTGAAATGTTTTCTGCCTCTGTCATCATTTACCTTTTAGAGTGTACAAAAATGACTCCACAAGCTGGGTGCAGTGGCTCATGCCTGTAATCCCAGCACTTTGGGAGACGAAGATGGGTATGTCACTTGAGCCCAGGAGTTCAAGACTAGCCTGGGTAACATGGTAAAACCCCATCTCTACAAAAAAATACAAAAAAATTAGGTGGGTGAGGTCATATGCCCTTGTAATCCTAGCTACTCAAGAGGCTGAGGTGGGAGGATTGCTGCAGTCCAGGAGGTTGAGGTTTCAGTGAGCTGTGTTTGTGCCACTGCACTACAGAATGGGTGATAGGGCAAGACCCTGTCTCTGAATGAACGAATGAATAAATGAGGGATGGAGGGAAGGAAGGAAGGAAAAGAAAGAAGCAGGGCTGGGAAGAAAGATTCAGTTTTGGCCAGGCTCAGTGGCTCATGTGTGTAATTTCAGCACTTTGGGAGGCTGAGGCATGTGGATCATCTGAGGTCAGGAGTTCGAGATCAGCCTGGCCAGTATGGTGAAAAACCATCCCTTTTAAAAATACAAAGAAGAAAAATTAGCTGAGCATGGTGGTGGGTGCTTGTAATCTCAGCTACTCTGGAGGCTGAGGCAGGAGAATCAATTGAACCTGAGAGGCGGAGGTTGCAGTGAGCTACTGCACTCCAGACTGGGTGACAGAGTGAGACTCTGTCTTAAAAAAAAAAAACAAACATTGGCTGGTCTTAGTGACGTACATCTATAATTCCAGCTACTCAGGAGGCTGAGGTACTGGAATCGCTTTAACCTGGGAGGCGGAGGTTGCAGTGAGCCGAGATCATACCACTGCACGCCAGCCTGGTGATAGAGTGAGACTCTATCTCCAAATCAGAGAGGAGAGTGATGAAATCAAGTCAAGGAAGAGAAATGTTTATTGCTTTTTGATTTTAACAAAACTTTTATTGTACAAAAATACGGCAAATAACACAAAAGTATAGATTAGTGAATGAGTTTTTACAGATTCACTGCTTATGTAACTAGCACCTAAAATATAGGATATAGTTGACCCTTTAACAACATGGGTTTGAACTGCGCAGGTCCACTTTAGTTATGCCCAGACTTTTTGGAATAAATATGTTGGAAAATTTTTTGGAGATTTGTATGACACTTTGACAAAACTTGCAAATGAACCACATAGACTAGAAATATCAAAAAAAATTAAGAAAAAGATATGTTATGAATGCATAAGATGTATATAGATACTAATCTATTTTATCATTTACTATAAAATATGCACAAATCTAGGCCAAGCACTGTGGCTCATGCCTGTAATCCCAGCACTTTGGGAGGCTGAGATGGGTGAATCATTTGAGGTTAGGAGTTCAAGACCAGCTTGCCCAACATGGTGAAACTCCATCTCTACTATCTCTACTAAAAAAAAAAAAAAAAAAAAAAAATTAGCTGACGTGGTGGTACATGCCTGTAATCCCAGCTTCGTGGGAGGCTGAGGCAGGAGAATCACTAGAGCCTGGGAAGTGGTGGTTGCAGTGAGCCGAGATTGCGCCAGTGCACTCCAGCCTGGGTGGCAGGGAGAGAGAGACTCCTCAAAAAAAAAAAAAAAAGAGTATGTTCTCTCTCTCTCTTTCTCTCTCTCTCCTTCTCTCTCTCTCTCTCTCTCTGTGTGTGTGTGTGTGTGTGTGTGTATGTATGTATGTATAGATATACACACACAAATCTATTATAAAAAGTTAAAATTTATTGAAATGTACACACACACTTAACAGACAGTACATGGTGCCACCTATAACCATGTAAACAAATGTATAGATGCAGTATTAAATTATAACTGCATAAAATTAACTGCAGTACCTACTGTACCACTGTAATAATTTTGTAGTGACCTCCTGTTGCTGTTGCATGGAGCTCAAGTATTATGAGTATCCACTTAACATCATATCTGGTGAGCAGTTTGTCTTTCTAGTAAATTGCATCACAGTAAAAAGTGATCTCTTTAGATTCTCACCTATTTTGCATCATGTTAATTGTAATACTATACCTTGAATAACACAGTGGGACCCATATGAAGTGCCCACTAGTGATGCTAGAAATTTTCCCAAGAAACAGAAGTCATGACATGATAAAAACTTGAATTGACTGATAGGTACCGTAGATTGAAGTCTACAGCTGTGATTCAAGATAAATGAATCTGGCCTAAGGATTATTGTAAAAAAAGAAAAGGATTTTTTTTTTCTTTGAGACAGTGTCTTACTCTGTCACCCTGGGTGGAGTGCAGTGGTACAGTCTCAGCTCACTGCAACCGCCACCTGGGGCTTAAGTGACCCTCCCACCTCAGCCTCCCAAGTAGCTGGTACTGTAGGCATGCACCAGAGTGCCTGGCTACAGTCAATATACAAAAATATAATTTTTGTATATTGTTTTTTTTTTTTTCTGTAGAGAGGGGTTTTGCCATATTGCCTATGCTGGTCTCAACTGCTGAGCTCAAGCGATCTACCCACCTTTGTCTCCCAAACTGCTAGAATTACAGGCGGGAGCCTCCATGCCAACCCTGAGAAAAGGAAATTTGTGATGCTATTATTGCAGTGACACTGGCAGGCACTAAAACCTTGCACATTTTGCTAAATACTTTCTCTTATATTGAAAATGCAGGCTGGTGCGGTGGCTAATGCCTATAATCCCAGCACTTTGGGAGGTTGAAGCAGGTGGATGACCTGAGGCCAGGAGTTCCACACCAGGTCTGGCCAACATGGCAAAACCCCATCTCTACTAAAAATACAAAAATTAGCCGGGTGTGGTGGCAGGTGCCTGTAGTCCCAGCTACTCAGGAGGATGATGCATAAGAATCACTTGAACTTGGGAGGCGGAGGTTGCAGTGAGCCGAGATCATGCGACTACACTCCAGCCTGGGCAACAGAGTGAGACTCTGTCTCAAAAAAAAAGAAAATTCAGCTTTTAGACCAGGTGCAGTGGCTCACATTTGTAATCCCAGCACTATTGGAGATTGGGGCTGGCAGATCACTTGAGCTCAGGAGTTTGAGACTAGCCTGGGCAATATGGCCAAACGCTGTCTCTATAAAAATTAGCCGAGCGTGGTGGTGTGTCCCTGTAGTCCCAGGCAGGAGAAACGGCTTGAGCTTGGGAGACAGAGGTTGCAGTGAGCTGAGATAGCACATTGCACTTCAAGCCTGGGCAATGGGAGTGAAACCCTGTCCCAGAAATCAGTCAGTCAGTCAGTCAATCAATCAAATGCAGCTTTTACATAGGTACAAGATGCTATAAGAAAGACTTAACTATAACTCTAATATGATTTGAGAAAAAGTGAAGTCATTATATGACAACTTAAAGCAAAAGGAAGGTGAAAAGTCTAAAACTGGAGAATTTAATGCCAGAAAAAGGTGGTTTAATAATTGTAGAAAGAAGCTTGGTTTAAAAATGTCAAGATAAAAAGAGAACCACCTTCTGCCAACCAAGAGGCAGCAGGGTAGTTCCCAGGTGCCATTAAGAAAATCATTGAGGAGAAAGGTTATCTGTTTGAATGAGTTTTTAATGCTGATAAAAATGCCCTATTCTGAGGGAAAAAAAAACCAAAAACGCCACAAAAGACATTTATTAGGAAGAGAAGTGCACATCTGGAATTGAGACAGGAAAGCATAGACTAACTATTTTGTGCTAATGCAGTCATGTTTATAATCGGGACTGTCCTTATCTATAATGCTGCTAACCCCTGAGCCTTGGAGGGAAAAAATAAATAGCAGCTGCCAATTTTTTCATTGTACAAGATGACCTAGACAGTGGGAACACTTTTTCTGGATTGGTGTAATTGATGCTTTGTTCCTAAAGTCAGGAAGTACCTGGTCAGTAAGGGACTGCCTTTCAAAGTTTTTTTGAGGCTGGGCACAGTGGCTGACAAGTGTAATCCCAGCACTTTGGGAGGTTGAGGCAGTGGATCATTTGAGGTTAGGAGTTTGAGACCAGCCTGACCAACATGGTGATACTCCATTTCTCCTGATACAAAAATTAGCCAGGCATGGTGGCGTGTGCCTGTAATCCCACCTACCCAGGAGGCTGAGGTACAAGAATCACTTGAATCTTGGAGGCAGAGGTTGCAGTGAGCCAAGATCGTGGCACTGCACTACAGCCTGGGCAACAGAGTGAGACTCAGCCTCAAAAAAAAAAAAAAAAAAAAAAAAAAAAAGTTTCATTGATATCGCACAGTGCCCCTGGCTACCTGAAATCTCATGAATTCAATACCAAAGGTGTGAAAGTGGTCTACTTGACCCCAGACACAGTGTCTTTATCTTGATCTAGGGCCTCTAGGTCAAACGGCCACACAGACCTTTTAAAGCTCACTACACATGGTACTCTACAGAAAGGATTGCCAAGTCTGGGAAAGAACCCTGATGGAACATCAAGAAAGCCTGGAAGGATCACACCATTGAAGGTGCCATCAGTGTTACAGAAATAACCATCAAAGCCAGCAAGATTGAAGCAATAAATTCTGCTGGGGAAAACTATCCATATGTTTTGCATGACTTACAGGATTTACGACAGATAATACCATTGAGAAAGTCGTGAAAGAGGGCTGAGCATGGTGGCTCCTGCCTGTAATCCCAGCACTTTGGGAGACCCAGGCTAGTGGATCACCTTAGGTCAGGAGTTCGAGACCAGCTTGGCCAACATGGTGAAACCCTGCCTACTAAAAATACAAAAATTATCTGGGTGTGGTGGCAGATGCCTGTAATCTCAGCTACTTGGGAGGCTGAGTCACAAGAATCAGCTTGAGCCTGGGAGGCAGAGTAAGCCGAGATTGTGCCACTGCATTCCAGTCTGGGTAACAGCGACTTTGTCTCAAAAAAAAAAAAAAAAAAAATTATGAAAGAGGTGTAGATGTGGCAAAAAAGATGAGAGGTGAAGGGTTTCAAGATAGCGATCTTGGAGAAATTCAAGAACTAATAGATATGATGCCAGCGAAATTAAGAGAAGATAGCTTGACGGAGCTCAGTGCTTCCAAACCAATGCTAGATGATGAGGAAGAAGATGTAGAAGAAACAGTGCCAGAAGATTGATGTTAGATAGTCTCTCAGAAAGTTTCCAGTTATGTAAGACTGCTTTTGACTTCTTTTAGATATAAATCTTTCTATAATACTGGCACTGAAATAAAAGCAAATGGTGGAATAAAGATTGGTTTTATATAGGAACTTTTTTTTTTGAGATGGAGTTTAGCTCTTGTTACCCAGGCTAGAGTGCAATGGCGCGATCTCAGGCTCACCACAACCTCCGCCTCCTGGGTTCAAGCAATTCTGCCTCAGCCTCCTGAGTAGCTGGGACTACAGGCACGTGCCACCATGCCCAGCTAATTTTTTGTATTTTTAGTAGAGACGGGGTTTCACCATGTTGACCAGGATGGTCTCGATCTCTTGACCTCGTGATCCACCTGCCTCGGCCTCCCAAAGTGCTGGGATTACAGGCTTGAGCCACCGCGCCCGGCCTATATAGGAACATTTTTAGAGAAATTTGCAGAAATATCAGATACAAAGTATAGTATATTTTCATAAAGTTATACTGAGCATGCCTGCCTCTCCTGCTTTCCCTTCCATCTGTCGCTACCCCTGAGAGAGAAGACCAACTCCTCCCCTTCTTCCTCTTCCTCAGCCTACTCACTGTGAAGACAAGAATGAAGGCTTTTTTTTTTTTTTTTTTTTTTTTTTTTTTTAAGACAAGAGTTTCACTCTTGTTGCCCAGGCTGGAGTGTAATGGCGTTATCTCGGCTCGCCACAACCTCTGCCTCCCAGGTTCAAGCAATTTTCCTGCTTTAGCCTCCCGAGTAGTTGGGATTACAGGCATGCGCCACCATGGCTGGCTAATTTTGTATTTTTAGTAGAGACGGGGTTTCTCCATGTTGTTCAGGCTGGTCTCTAACTCTTGACCTCAGGTGATCCACCCACCTTGGCCTCCAAAAGTGTTTGGATTACAGGCGTGAGCCATAGCTCCTGGTCATGAAGACTTTTTGATGATCTGCTTCCATTTAATAGATTCACTTATGTATATTCTAAGAATACAGTATATAAAAATATACAAAATATGTGTTAATTGACTGTTTATGTTAACAGTAAGCCTTCTGGCCAGTGGTAAGCTATTAGCAGTTAAGTTTTTGGGTGAGTCAAAACTTATACATACCTATATTCTGTCCTAGCACTTTGGAAGGCCAAGGTGGACAGATCACTTGAGGCCAGGCACATGTTGCCTGGGCAACATGGCAAAACCCTCTATATAATAAAAATGCAAAAATTAGCCAGGTGTGGTGGAGGCTGCAGTGAACTGAGATCATGCCACTGCACTCTGGCCTGGGTGACAGAGTGAGACTCTGTCTCAAAAAAAAAAAGACCCTAAAACCTTATACTTTTTTTTTTTTTTTTTTTTTTTTTTTTTTGTGGGGACAGGGTCTTGCTCTGTCACCCAGGCTGGAGTGTAGTGCGGTGATATAATCTCAGTTTACTGCATCCTTGACCTCCTGAGCTCAAGTGATCTTCCCACTTCAGCCTCCCTAGCAACCTGGACTACAGGCATTTGTCACCACACCCAGCTAATTTTTGTGTTATTTGTAGAGATGGGGTTTCACCATCAGATGCAGATCACCTGAGGTCGGGAGTTCAAGACCAGTCTGACCAACATGGTGAAACCCCATCTTTGAAAAACAAAACAAAACAAAACAAAAAAACAAACTCAGCAAACCAAGAACAAAGGATGTCTATGAAAACACGATAGCTAACATCATACTTATGGTAAGACTGAATGCTTTCTCCCAATGAGGCAGAACAAGGCAAAGATGCCCAAACTTAAAACTTATATTCAACATTGTACTACAGGCTGTAGATAGTACAATTAGGAATGAAAAATAAAGGACATAAAGAATGGAAGTTGAAAAGTACAGTTGACCCTTGAACAATGTGAAGGGATGCCAAGTCCCCCTCTTCCCCAATGCAATCAAAATCCATGTATAGGCTGAGCATGGTGGCTTGCGCCTGTAATCCCAGCACTTTGGGAGGCTAAGGTGGGCATACTGCTTGAGCCCAGGAGTTTGAGACTAGCCTGGGCAACATGGCAAAACCCTGTCTCTACAAAAAATACAAAAAATTAGCTGGGCATTATGTCACATGCCTGTAATACCAACTGCTTGGGAGGCTGAGGTGGGAGGATCATGTGAGCTTAGAAGGTCAAGACTGCAGTGAGCTATGATGGCACCACTGTACTCCAACCTGAATGAAAGACTGAGATTCTGTCTCAAAAAAAAAAAAAGTTTGTGTAGAATTGATGTTATTATTTCTAGAACCAGGGCTCTGTCACTTAGGCTGAAGTGTAGTGGTGCCATCATAGCTCACCACAGCCCTGAATTCTTTGCCAAAGCCTTCTTCCACTTCAGTCTCCAGAGTATCTGGGACTATAAATGTGTGCCACCAAGCCTAGCTAACTATTATTGTTAGTATTTTTTATAGAGACAGGATCTTGCTATGTTGCCCAGTCTGGTTTTGAACTCCTGGCCTCAGGTGATCCTCCTACTTTGGCCTCTCTTAAATGTTTGATATTATTTAAATAGTGTGTCTAGAAGCTATGTTGAAATGGGCCAAGGAATGACAGATAGATAAGGAAATAGATAGCCAGGATGGACAAATTTGAGAGTTCTGGCTATGAAGAGAAGAGATGATAGTTACTAGAGAGATGTAAAGATCGAATCAGGCATTAAAGAAGTAGAGTTGTTTTTTTGATTGACATTATCTTTTAAATTTGCTTCTTTGTTACTTAATTCTAATGCAGATACATCAAGAAATCTGGAATTTCATGAAATACACAGCACTGGGAATGAACCACCTTTGCTGATTATGATTGGCTACAGTGATGGAATGCAGGTCTGGAGCATCCCTGTAAGTATGCATATGGTTGAATATCTAAAACATTATACTTTGCAGCATGTTAGCTTATGTGAAATCTGTAGATACTTTTTTTTTGAGAGAGCCTCACTCTTTCACCCAGGCTGGAGTGCAGTGGTACGATCTCAGCTCACTGCAACCTCCGCCTCCCATGTTTAAGCGTTTCTTCTGCCTCAGCCTCCCGAGTATCTGGGATTACAGGGGTGCATCACCATGTCCAGGTAATTTTTGTATTTTGTATATATATATATTGTTTTGAGATGGAGTTTTGCTCTTGTTGCCAAGGCTGAAGTGCAATGGCATGACCTCAGCTCACTGCAACCTCTGCCTCCCAGGTTCAGGCGATTCTCTTGCCTCAGCTTCCCATGTAGCTGGGATTACAGGCATGCGCCACCATGCCTGGCTAATTTTGCTTTTTTTTTTTTTTTGAGGTGGAGTCTAGCCCTGTTGCCCAGGCTGGAGTGCAGTGGCGTGATCTTGGCTCACTGCAACCTCTGCCTCCCAGGTTCAAGTGATTCTTCTGCCTCAGTTTCCCAAGTAGCTGGGACTACAGGCGTCTGCCACCACGCCTGGCTAATCTTTTGTATCTTTAATAGTGACAGAGTTTCACCATGTTAGCCAGGCTGGTCTCAAATTCCTGACCTCGTGATCCATGCATTTTGGCCTTCCAAAGTGCTGGGATTATAGGCATGACCCACTGTGCCTGGCCCTAATTTTGTATTTTTAGTAGAGACGGGGTTTGTCTATGTTGGTCAGGCTTGTCTTGAACTCCTGACCTCAGGTGATCTGCCTGCCTTGGCCTCCCAAAGTGCTGGGATTACAGGTATAAGGCACTGCACCCGGCCCAGTTTTTAACACTTTTAAATAGAGACAGGGTCTTACTGTGTTGCCTAGGCTGGTCTCGAATTCCTGGGCTCAAGTGATCCTCCCACTTGGTCTCCTAAAGTGTGAGCATTATAGGCATGAGCCACTGTGCTTGGCCAATTCTATTCTTTTTTTTTTCTTGCCGGTCGCGGTAGCTCATGCCTGTAATCCCAGCACTTTGGGAGGTCGAGGCGGGTGACCTTGTGATCGAGACCATCCTGGCCAACATAGTAAAACCCCATCTCTATTAAAAAAAAATTTCTATTCTTAAAATTATCATATAATTAAGTATCTAAGATGTGGAATTTTTTTTTTTAACTTGGTTTACTTTTTAGAGGTGGAAGAATCATGCTGTTATGTCATAAAATTAGAAGTATTCTTTTTCTTTTGTCTTTTGGGTAGTGTAGCTGACATTTTTCAGGGTTCCACAATTGTCTTTGTAATTTCAGTGTTGCTTCAAAGCATGGAAAAAGTACTTAAAAATTGGCAGTGCTTTTTTTCTTATTGGGAGAAATATCTGGGTTGTGATAAAATGAAAGGATTTTTAAAGTATAACTTTTTCTTACTAATAGAGACTACATTTTGCTTCATTACGCTGTTTGTAGACAGAATTGAAGACAAAGAGGGTGCTATACCTTTAACGAGAGGGTTGAGCCTGTATGGTTAGGGGTGTGGACTGGATTGAACACATTCCTTTGGTTGCTTTAACCGCCCACTTATTCTGGTTATAATTAGAGGTATTACTTTTAATAGTTTTTGAAGTTAACTTCTGTTTATCTTTGAGTAATTAAGGTTTATTCCTCCTTAGGCCTAGATTGTATTTTGAGAGGCTTGAATAATTGTTTTTCATGGAATTTTTCTTTGACCAATCGTATATTGTTATAATACCCCTATTTCATGAATTAGGGCTTGGTGCAGAGGCTTATGCCTGTAATCCCAGCACTTTGGGAGGCCAAGGCAGGTGGATCATTTGAAGTCAGGAGTTTGAGACTAGCCTGACCAATTCTGTCTCTAGTAAAAATACAGAAAAAATTTAGCTGGATGTGGTGGTGCATGTCTGTAGTCCCAGCTACTCGGGAGGCTGAGGCAGGAGAATCACTTGAACCTGGGAGGGGAAGGTTACAGTGAGCCAAGATCATGCCACTACACTCCAGCCTGGGCAACAGAGCAAGACTGTCTCAAAAAACAAACAAATATAGTGAGACCTTGTCTCTATAAAAAATTTTAAAAAATTAACCTGGCATAGTGGCATGTGCCTATGGTTCCAGCCATAGGCTGATGAGGATGAGGCAGGAGGATTGCCTGAGCCTGGGAGGTTGAGGCAGGAGGATTGCCTGAGCCTGGGAGGTTGAGGCTGCAGTGAGCGATGATTATGCCACTGCACTCCAGCCTGGGTGACAGAGTGAGACCTTGTCTCAGTCAATCAATCAATCAATCAATGAGACAATGACAATCTGGAAAAATAAGCTGCTTATGTTCCATTGATTGAGCTCTTAATATGGTCAAAGAGGTCTATATACATATTATCTCATCTAATGTAGAAGTTATCTTGTTTTACAGGTGTAAGGTCACACTGCTTTTAAGAGGTGGAACTAGAATTTAAACTAGTTCTGTCTGGATTCCAATTCAAAGCCCATAATCTAAGAGCTGTACTTCATCACTTTTCAAATGTGACAGCTAAAGTTATGACATGCGAGTAGTTTTGTAGTTTAGGTTTAGTTTTTGTAGAGGTGAAGGGAATTTTCCCCTCTCCCTCTGAAATAAATTGACAATAGATTAATAGGAGAAAAAGCATACATGTGCATGAGAGCCACACAAAATATGAGACTCACAGAAGGGCCTGATGGCTGAAGCTTCCATAGTACTTTCTTCATGAGGAGAGAGAAATGGAGGAGTGTAGTCAATTTTGAGAGTTAGTAAATGATTCTCAGGAAAGTTAAATGGGCCCAAAGAGCAGAATATTGTTTATAAGTGGTTCTCTTGAGAAATGGGATCTGAGAAGAGATGATAGCCTGTGACAAAGTCTGTCTAGACCCACATGGTGTCATTTCTTGGCTCTCCTTACTGCAGTTTGCTATTTGGAAATAAAAAAAAAGGATGGTTGTGTCTGTACTGAACAGGTATGGAGTTTTCTTTCTTGTCATCATTCACTAAACGTTGCAGTATGATCACTTACACAGCATTTACGTTGTACTAGGTATTATAAGTAAGAGATAAAGTATATGAGAGGATGTGTATAGCGTGTATGCAAATACTATGCCATTTTATGTAAAGGACTTGAGCATCATGGATTTTGGTATCTATGGGTGGTTTGTGGAATCAGTCCCCCCCAGATGCTGAGGGACAATTGTATTTGCGTTTTTTTGTTTGCTTTGTTTTAAGACTGAGACTCACTCTGTTGTCCAGCCTGGAGTGCAGTGGTGCCATCTCAGCTCACTGCAACCTCCGCCCCCTGGGTTCAAGTGATTTTCATGCCTCAGCCTCCTGAGTAGCTGGAACGACAGATGTGAGCCATCATGCCAGGCTAATTTTTATATATTTTTGAGTAGAAACGGGGTTTTACCATATTGGCCAGGCTGGTTTCAAACTCCTGACCTCAGGTAATCTACCCACCTTGGCCTCCCTGAGTGCTGGGATTATAGGTGTGAGCTACTGTGCCCGGCCTGCGTTTTAAAAATAAAGATGAGGTAGGTCTCACTATGTTGCCCAGGTTGGTCTTGATGCCTGGCCTCAGGCAGTCCTCCTGCCATGGCCTCCGAAAGCACTGGTATTACAGATGTGAGCCATCATGCCTGGCTGTGTATTTGCTTTTGAGTAAACGTAGGTGGGCAGAAAATCAACCCTTGTCCAAACCTTAGCGTAGTTTTTGCTTGTAGTATGTGCTCAGGACTTCCTCTAGTTGAGTTTAATATAACTATCCCACTGTGGCGCATGCCTGTAATTCCAGCACTTTGGGAGGCTGAGGCAAGTGGATAACTTGCAGTCAGGAGTTCAAGACCAGCCTGGCCAACATGGTGAAACTCCATCTCTACTAAAAATGTAAAAATTAGCCAGGCATGGTGGCAGGCATCTGTAATCCCACCTACTTGGGAATCTGAGGCAGGAGAATTGCTTGAACCCGGGAGGTGAAGGTTGCAGTGAGCTGAGATGGCACCACTGCATTCCTGCCTGGGTGACAGAGCATGAGACTCTGTCTTAAAAAGAAAGACAAAACTGTCCATCTTGGAGTCTCAGGTTAAGAAAATTAGCATATCCTGGTTAAACTTTTAAAGAAATTGTCTGTTGAAGTACATAGATATGAATGGAACTTAGATGATGCCTAGGAATATCATTACTTAGAGTCAGCTCAAAAGCAGAACTATGCAGTAGTTTACTGCCCAATGTCTACGGCTTTGTAAATGGGATGGCTGCAGGAAAACAGTAGCTTTCCCAGCTTTCCTGAGCTCTCACAGCCCTTCTTTCAACACACCTGTTATAACATAGAATGATTCTTAAGCTTGTGTTCCGGATAAACAACCCTTTTTCAACTCATGCCTAACAATGTTATTGCCTCTTTTTTGGTGAGGTAAATACAGGTTTTCTTGCTTAAATTTTTTTTTTTTTTTTTTTGAGACGGAGTTTCCCTCTTGTTACCCAGGCTGGAGTGCAATGGCGTGATCTCGGCTCACCGCAACCTCCGCCTCCTGGGTTCAGGCAATTCTCCTGCCTCAGCCTCCTGAGCAGCTGGGATTACAGGCACGCGCCACCATGCCCAGCTAATTTTTTGTATTTTTAGTAGAGACGGGGGTTTCACTATTTTGACCAGGTTGTCAATCTCTCGATCTCTTGACCTTGTGATCCACCTGCCTCGGCCTCCCAAAGTGCTGGGCTTACAGGCTTGAGCCACCGCGCCCGGCCCGCTTAAAATTTTTAATTAAAAAAAAATCAAAGATATCTTTGTATATATTTTAAAAACCAAATAGTTTTGTGAGATTCAAATATGAAAAAAATGTAGTTCTATTCTCTGCCTTTAATCACTCCTTCAAATCTAATAGTTATTGTCATTTTAGTATTTATTTGAATCATTTCAAAATATCATACTTGTTACTTATTTCTATTTTGAGATGGAGTCTCACTGCAACACCCAGGCT